CGGCGCAAATAAAGTTCTAGTCGACTTTTAAATAAATTTTAATGTTTCATCTTAAGTGCAAATATTAGCACCATAAAAACTTAAGATGAAATACAAAAACTTATAAGTTTACAACTTAATATCTACCTACTATTTCATGTCACCGCTAAAACCTCTTTATTCAAAAAAGAAATTGAATGCACAACTTCTTAATTATTCATAAATTTACTTTATCACTACAAATTTTATTAAAAATGCCTTTTTAATTTATCCTGTTTTATACCTTTGTGTCTTTTAGGTGACCCCGAATGAAGTACACGCCAAATTGAACAGGACAACATCCGTAAATCTTAAATAATATGTAATAACAATTCCGTAATGTTCTTAAGGTCAATCCATTCCGTACTACATGCAAGCCGGACGTTAAAATCTGACTTCACCTTGGTGCATAATGTTAAACATGTCCTTATTTCTAAATACCGGCTTAAATAGCTGTTACGGGTAATGTGAACTAATTAGTCAATGTTGAAAATTGTCACTTAAAACTTTTCTGAACGTTTATGGGCCGACGGTAAAATGCCTCTTAGCTTTTAACAGAGTTTCGATCAAAAGTTTTGGTTGGGAGTTGTATATATACAAGTGAACTTGTTGTATTCGACTAAAAACTAATGCCTGATAGAGCTAATCTATACTGTTTATTGCATAGACTGTAGGACTGTGAGAGTTTATGTAATTAGTAATATATTTCTATAATCAAAACTCTGTAACAGGCGGTCTATCCATGCTTACTTTGGCATAGAGCAATGTTGAGATAATAAAGATTGAACTGAAATGAATATTCTACAATTTAATTATTAAATCAACTGAAATGAATATTCTTCAGTTGATCCACTAGCTTTGCGAATCAATTGACTGTGAGGTTAGTTGACCGCAACCTTGTTCCGTGCAAGTGCACAAACTGTTGCTTTAGTTCGGCGATATGCTAACCTTCACTCAGCTTAACCTTTAAATTGCCTGCATAATTTAGACCCAATTAAATAAAAGCCATACAATCAGAGTACAATTCGGTCGATTATAGCAAAATTTACTTGAAAGTTTAAATGAAGATCCAGGCATAATTTACGAAAATTATCGTAGCATGAGCACCTACTACTAGTGCTCATCTTAGATTATGATTTGTAAGTCGTTCTTCATTACTTACTAAATAGCTCGTATGAAATCATATGGTTGGTAGTGACTGAGTTGTAGGTAACGAAGCAACATGAGCAAAGGAGCTCAATAAAAGCTGTTCATACATGCCTTGAAGGTTTATGAAATTTGAAAGCAATTGAATTTGTAATCTGAAAAGACGCAAGTAAATTCTTATATTGTTAATATTTTTGCTCTATTTGTTGGGGTGAAGCTAATAAAACTAAAGGACAGAAAGTTAACGTATAAAGAAATAGTTTCGCCTAACATTTTTATAGTGAGAATTTTTGTACGTAAAAGAACAAATTCGGATTGAGATTCGGCGCTGTGGGCCGCACGTGCGCCTTCTAGTTTCGCATCTAGACGCTTCACCAACTGAACTAAGAGGCTTAAATAGAAGGAAATGACTGCAAAATTTTAATATTTTTTGTTGCTACTTAAAAAAAAAAGAGTTTATAGTTAAGCATGAATCTGTTCGTGCCGTGTGGTGTCGGCGTAAGAATAAGCCACCCCATCTCATCCCGTGGGTGTCGTAAGAGGCGACTAAGGGATAAGCCACAAACATCCAGTGGCCTCCGATAGATGGCGGGATAACCATCTTAACTCTCCAGACCCAAATATCCAGGCCAATAACGGGCAGCAGCGTTGAAGGTGCGAGGTGTCTGGAAGAACTGCCATTGCCAACCCGCTCGCCAAGCGTGGCAACTATGGCAAAAACCCCTCATGTATGGAAGTCCAAGGTGTACGGCCCCCAGTCCCCGGCGGCCCTGCTATTCCTGGCTACGGTAGCGGTCATGGTAACGGCAGGGCAGGGGGTGCTAAGAATCCCCGGCTAGGATTCGGCTACCAACGATGGTGACTGGACCTGGCAACATACAACGCAAGAACATTGAGGACTGACGAGAAGATTACAGAGCTGGAAGAAGAGGTGAACAGGCTGCGCTGGGATATAATAGGATTATCTGAAGTCCGAAGACAGGCGGGAGGACACGATAATCCTCGAATCCGGCAACCTGTTTTACCACCGGGAGGGCGACCAACTGACCCAAGGAGGTGTCGGATTTATCGTCCACAAGTCTCTCATTAACAACGTTGTTAAAATCAAGGGTGTGTCGTCGAGGGTTGCGTACCTTATACTCAGAATATCCAAACGGTATTCGCTGAAGGTCATACAGGTCTACGCACCAACGTCGACACATCCCGATGAGGAGGTGGAGGCAATGTATGAGGATATATCACGAGCCATACATTCCTCCAAAACTCAATACATGGTGTTAATGGGAGACTTCAACGCAATCTAGGCAAAAGGAAAGACGATGAGTTGAGAGTAGGAAGTTTTGGTACACGGCCACGGAACCCAAGGGGGCAGCAGCTGGCTGACTTTATGGAGAAGGAGGGACTCTTTATGATGAACTCTTTCTTCAAAAAGCAGCCCCACAGAAAGTGGACCTGGATTGGCCCCGATGGTTCCGTAAAAAACGAGATAGACTTCATTATGACGAACAAACGGCAAATATTCAATGATGTCTCTGTGATCACAAGGGTGAAGACCGGCAGTGATCACCGATTGGTGAGAGGCACATTGAATATTAATATCAGGCTGGAAAGATCTCGTCTAATGAAGTCCATACTCCGACCATCTCGTGCCCATATCCAGAACTCCGAAAGCTTTCGGCTCAAGCTACATAATCGCTTCCAATGCCTAGAAAATTGCAGCACTGTGGACGATATTAACGCTAAGCTCGTGGAAACTGTCCATGCGTGGCCCTTAAATTTTATAAGGCCCGCCACACAAATAGAACGCAAGAACTCTCCGATCACACTCTTAACCTCTTGAGAAAAAGACGTGAGATACGACTGCAGTCTTTAGCTGACATGTCAGACTACAGGCGGCTTAATAGGCAGATCTCCAAATGCATGCGGCGAGACTTACGCATCTTCAATACAGCTCGTATTAAGGGAGCTATAGAGCAGAACCTAGGCTCAAAAGTCTTCGCCAGAGATCTGTCTATCGGACAAAGCCAACTGACCAAGTTGAAGACTGACAGCGGGGCTGTCATCTCCAGTAGACCAGAGGTTTTGAGTGAGATTGAGAGGTTCTATGGACAGCTGTACACATCGTCGTTGGAGCCACACACATGTGTGAGTTACGACCCAAGAGCAAAGCTCTTCCGACACTATTCCGAGAATATCCCGGACGTCAGTCTGAGCGAGATTAGAATGGCTCTCGACCATCTTAAGAATGGCAAAGCATCGGGAGAGGACGGAATTACAGCAGAGCTTCTGAAAGCGGTTGGAGAACCGGTACTTGTAGTCCTTCAGAGGCTCTTTAATTTCGTCCTTCAGGGTGGTGCTACACCAGAGGCGTGGAGCAGAAGTGTGGTGGTGCTGTTCTTCAAGAAAGGCGATAACGCTCTCTTGAAGAACTATAGACCGATATCCCTTCTGAGCCGCGTCTATGTGCTGTTCTCAAGAGTCATCTTGAATCGTCTCGCTTCCAGACTCGACGACTTCCAGCCTCCCGAACAAGCCGGATTCCGAAAAGGCTTCAGTACCATAGACCACATACACACCTTGCGGCAGGTTATACAGAAGACCGAAGAGTATAATCTGCCTTTGTGCCTAGCGTATGTGGACTATGAGAAAGCCTTCGATTCTGTCGAAATTTGGGCGGTACTCCAGGCTCTTCAGCGGTGCCAAATTGACTATCGGTATATCGAAGTGCTGAGGTGTTTGTATAACAAGGCTACGATGTCCGTCCAAGTACAGTCCAGTAGTACAAAACCTATCCATCTGCAGAAGGGTGTAAGACAGGGTGATGTCATATCCCCGAAACTCTTCACCGCTGCGTTGGAAGATGTTTTCAAGCTTCTGGACTGGAAAGGACGAGGTATTAACATCAATGCCGAATACATCACCCACCCTCGATTTGCCGACGATATAGTCATCATGGCAGAATCGCTGGAGGACCTGGGTGCTATGCTCAATGACCTCAACAGTGTCTCCCAACGGGTGGGCCTTAAGATGAACATGGACAAGACGAAGATCATGTCTAATGTCCATGTCACGCCTATACCGGTTGTCGTTGGGAGCACTGAGCTCGAAGTTGTTGACGAGTACGTTTACCTAGGACAGTTAGTCCGGCTAGGTAAGTCCAACTTCGACGCAGAGGTCAATTGGCGAATCCAACTCGGATGGGCAGCGTTCGGGAAACTACGGCAAATCTTCTCGTCAAATATACCTCAATCTTTGAAGACTAAAGTCTTCAATCAATGTGTGTTGCCAGTGATGACCTAGTCCTTCACTGCTGGCCGTATGAGGAAGCTCAAAGTCGCTCAGCGAGCTATGGAGCGGGCTATGCTCGGTATTTCTCTGCGTGATAGAGTTTCGTAACGAAGACATCCGCAGTAGAACCAAGGTAACCGACATAGCTCAGAGGATTAGCAAGCTGAAGTGGCGATGGGCCGGCCATATAGCTCGTAGAACCGATAACTGTTGGGGAAGAAAGGTTCTCGAGTGGCAGCCTCGTACTGGCCATCGCAGTGTAGGACGACCCCCCCCACTAGATGGAGTGACGACCTGTGCAAATGTGCGGGAAGTCGATGGATGCAGGTGGCTCAGGATCGTACTTCGTGGCAGTCTGTGGGGGAGGCCTATGTTCAGCAGTGGACTCAAACAGGCTGAAATGATGATGATGATGATGATGAATCTGTTTCTGAATGACCGAAGATATCTTTCTACTTATAGTATACGATTCCCGAATACTATCGGACCATTTTATTAAATCTGAACAACGTTCTAAACCTTCCAGGTTAAGAGATGCGCAGTTGATAATGGGAGTGCTGACTGCAGCCGCGGCGGCTGCCAAGTCCGCCTTGACCATCGCGGGAATCAGCAAGCTGACCTTCATACCGGCGATGCTGGCGGCTATGGCGTACTTTAACTACGACCTGCTCGATCCGGAGAACAGGCCCTTCAACCAGAAGTACCTACGGGAGGAATACGACTTCGTGGTTGTGGGAGGGGGATCGGCCGGCTCGGTGCTGGCGAACAGATTGTCTGAGATTGAAGGCTGGAACGTTCTCCTACTCGAGGCCGGAGGTCACGAGACGGACATAAGTGACGTGCCGCTGCTGTCTCTGTACCTTCACAAGAGCAAACTCGACTGGAAGTACCGGTATGTAGAATATTAGGCACTTTTTCTACGTGCCTAAAACACCATTACTTCACCAAATTTCATTCCATATTTTCATTCATTCAACAAATTAGTTCTAGACAACAGAAATCTGTGAAAAATAAAATAAGAAGCTCCTTGATCCAATAGTAAAATAACATTTTAAATACCGATAGCCTGTTTTATGCAGGGACACAATGATTGATTTCGACATAAATTGTAGAAACAGATATAGCCCCATAGATTCGATACATTCTGAATAAATATACCTATAACCATCATATAATTTTACACGTTCAAGTACCACAAATTCTCATAGCTACAGTTATGACACTAAGAAGAATCTATGAGTTTATTATTTCCAATAAGGGGACTGTATCGCATTTCAGCACCCAGCCTCAGGACTCCGCTTGCCAGGCCATGAAGGACAAACGTTGCAGTTGGACTAAGGGCAAGGTTCTCGGCGGTTCGTCGGTGCTCAACACGATGCTCTATATACGGGGCAATAAGCGCGATTTCGACCAGTGGGAGTCCTTCGGCAACCCTGGATGGGGTTATGAAGACGTCCTGCCGTATTTCAAGAAATCGGAGGATCAACGGAACCCCTACTTGGCCAAGGACACCAGGCATCATGGCGTTGGTAAGGATACGATATAAGTAATAAAATTAAGATTCTATAACATTTAATAGCTCTTGAGGACATCGATTACCACATGGCTGTAATTATACTGTAATTATAAAGATTAACTATTTAGAAACTGCTTTTAAGACAGAATTGTTACCTACATTTTTTCTTATTTTTCACCTCCATAACATATACTATTTTATCAGAAATTATAAAACAGATTTCAAAAAAAATTTGAAAGCTTTCAATGTTCAAGAGTTAAGGTAAATAGGACATTAGGCAGCAGATGACCATCCATTTAGTTACTGTAATGTATTTTTAATGACATGCCGTGAAGAAATATTGCTGGTAAATCAACATTACCTTGCCATTTGTGCGACTACGCCATGTATTAATACAATTAAATGTTCATCTTTGTAAGTACTACGAAACTACCAATATTCTAATTAAAATACGTTTTCATGATGTTGCAGTGCTGAAATAAAATTATTTTTCACACCTACAGGGGGCTACTTGACAGTACAAGACGCGCCTTATAACACGCCAATAGGTGCTGCCTTCCTGCAAGCGGGAGAGGAGATGGGATATGACATAATCGACGTGAACGGCGCCCAGCAGACCGGCTACGCCTGGTACCAGTTCACCATGAGAAGGGGAACCAGGTGCTCCACAGCGAAGGCCTTCCTCAGACCGGTGCGCTTGAGGCAGAATCTCCACATTTCCCTATTCTCGCACGTCACCAAAGTTCTCATAGACAAAGAAGACAAAAGGGCGTACGGGGTGCAATTCATAAAGGACCAGCAGAAGCAAATCGTGTACGCTAAACGCGAGGTCATTTTAGCTGCCGGTGCGATCGCCTCACCACAGATACTTATGCTGTCCGGTGTCGGACCAGCGCAACACTTGACAGAAGTCGGCATAGACGTGATGTACGATTCGCCCGGCGTGGGCAGAAACCTCCAGGATCACATCGCAGTCGGCGGTTTGGTGTTCCAGATCGATTACCCGATCAGTTTGATCATGAACCGGCTAGTCAACATCAATTCGGCGCTGCGCTACGCGATATCCGAGGACGGGCCGTTGACGTCGAGCATCGGTTTGGAGGTGGTCGCCTTCATAAACACGAAGTATGCGAACTCTTCGGACGACTGGCCTGACATGGAGTTCATGATGACGTCAGCCTCCATACCCTCCGACGGCGGCACACAAGTGAAGAAGGCGCACGGCATCACCGACGAGTTCTACGACGAAGTGTTCGGCCATATCACCAACAAAGATGTGTTCGGCATTTTCCCCATGATGCTGCGGCCAAAAAGCAGAGGCTTCATAAAGCTGCGCTCAAAGAATCCGCTGGATTACCCAATTATGTACCACAACTATCTAACGCACCCGGACGACGTGGGGGTACTTCGGGAGGGGGTGAAGGCAGCGGTTGCAGTGGGGGAGACAAAGGCGATGAAACGCTTGGGCGCAAGATTCAACAGCAAGCCGGTGCCGAACTGCAAACACCTGCCGCTGTACACGGACGAGTACTGGGACTGCATGATAAGGCAGTACACCATGACGATATATCACCTGTCTTGCACGGCGAAGATGGGCCCAGCGAGCGACCCGATGGCCGTGGTCGACCCCCAATTGCAAGTGTACGGCATCAAGGGCTTAAGAGTCATAGACGCCAGCATAATGCCAACAATCACTAACGGGAATATCAACGCGCCCGTGATAATGATCGCCGAGAAGGGAAGCGACCTGATCAAGGAGACGTGGATACCAAAGCGGAAAAAGAGGAGCAGCAGGTCCAATGCTTGCTCTCGGTTAGAAGAGGTGCTACTCAATAGGAACAGTTCCTGCAGTACAAAGAGATGATTGAGATTTTCAATCAGAAACCATAGGAAAAACGCCATAGCTGTGTATAATTAAGTGCTATAAACCAAAAGCATTTTGTTACCGATGATTTGTTGATTAATATGTTACTGTTTAATGTTTATCACAGGAATTCTCTAGTCGAAGGACCTTACAAAATAAACTACTAATAGAATACGCTACTGTAAATAGACATGACCCAGTTGCCAAAGGATGGTAATCACTTTTTTATGGGATAGTTTCCTATGTGCAAAAACTAGATATCTGACATTTTAAATAACTTTACAAATAGATCGAAATATTACTTATTTTATTACATTAAAGGCTACAAAGTTTTCAATATTCATCAACAAAAATAAGCTTTTCTGTCGCAAACCGCAGTTATTGAGATATACGAGTAGACATCAGTAAATCAATATAAATGTGACGTACCTAATTAATTAGTATTAAAAATATTATGCTCTATATATGTCAAGCGCATACATGCAGTTACAAAAAGTTACGAACTATATTAGAGTAAGAGTTGAGGTATATGGTGAAACATAACTATGTTAAAATAAAATACTTATTTCATTCAGTAATAAACTGTACTTTAAGTAATCCTAAACTTTGATTAAAAATCAATTAATAAGGATTATATAAAAAAACTCATTTATTCATTTTACGGTCAGAAATGGTTATCGTCGTTTGCTATATGCAGTGGTAACATTAGTACAAAGGTCAGTACAACATAAAAATAATAACCTCAAAATTTTTTAAATTACATATTACACAGTACAAATCAAAATCATAAACTGTTCTTGTTATGAAAATTTAATTGTTGTTGCAATCTTAATATCTGGACTACCAGGTAATTGACAATCAAATTTTAGTAGGATCACAAAAAAAAAACTACAAAAGGGATCGAAAGAAAGAAAGGTCCAAATCGAACCAAACACTGAAATATTCCAAAAAAAACAAACATCTATTTTAAATATCCTTAATAGCGCTATGACGTTATTTATCAGATTATACATGATAGTACCATTCATCGATCAAATGAATTCATCATGTCGATTAATTAAATGTTACAAACAATCGGGAACAGGAAAATTGAAGATGCCAACCATCACTTGATGGCAATTCATACATATACACATCATAGCGAAGTAGCAAGATTTAGAGCTCTACCTGAATCATACTTAGTGTACAGAGTTTTCGCAATAAGCCGATTACTGCGATAATTCGCTCGGTAGCAACTGAGAAGGAAATTCTGATCCGAATATTAAAGCCTTCTATGACAGCTTTAAGAATAAAATTCTTATTCTACATTATCTAAAACCAGAATCTTTGTTAGTACCTCTTACCTTTAATAGCGCAATAAATCAATCGATAGCGGTCGCAATGAAGTACAATGTATTCAAAGTTTTTAGACCTTTGATTTCGTATTAAATATCGCGAGGACATGGCCAAAAAATTCTCATTATTCAGACACCAGGTTTCTGACCAGTCGGTTAATAGTCGTGATGTTTCTCAGTGACTTCTTACACTAAGTCATCAATCAATGTTCCTCCCCATCGGCAGGAACATTAAGATAATAAGAATATAAGCAATAACACAAACAAAGTCGAAATCAATGAATAATTAAGACCAAGGTAAGGGCTTACATTATATGAGTACTAGCTGCTGACCACGACTACGTCTGCGTAGAGGGGTGCAAATTTAGGGTTGTATGTATTTTTGTATGCTGTGTCATAAAAAAATAGAAACAAAAAGTTTTATATAAAAAATTAAAAAAAATTTAGGGGTGGACTACCCCCTAACATTTAGGGGGACGAAAAATAGATAGTAGCCGATTCTCAGACCTACTGAATACGCATATAAAATTTGGTAAAAATCGGTCGAGCCGTTTCGGAGGAGTTCAAGTTCGAACCCCGTGACACGAGAATTTTATATATTAGAAGAAGAAGATATACGTCGTAGACATAAATAGAATAGTAACAGATGTCAATTTTATGCCACTTGTCACAGGCTTACGTCAACTGTATTAGTGTGCCGAGTAATAACAGTTTACTATTAAATTGGGGAAATTTTTGTTTAGATTGGTTACTTCTGTTTTTTAGATTGAATGGCATGTGTTGAATGGCGCGTATTTTAGAAAAATATTTGAATGTTAAAACAACCCAATAAGAATACAATAAAATGAAATTCACCACTGCGTTTTTGTTTGTCTTTTTTGTCTTTTTCATGTCTTTGGTTACATTTAAAATTATTGACCTATAATAAATGTTTATTATTCTATTAAGAATAGGGGTACATTATATGTATAACAAATTAATTATACCTTGATTTTCCGACGTCTGCTTATTACACTAACTTCGTAAAAATATAATTTTAGTTTTCATCAATATTCGTTTCTACACCCTGTGCCCTGGATCTTTTTCACTACAAAATAAAATAAAAAATGTAATACTAACGATATTAAGGCAAAGTTATGTGTTTATTCTATGGTGCGTTTACGTTTTGCACTTAAGACGGTATTTTCAAAGAAGGTACATGCATTTTCCTGTATTTGAAACCATAACTGGTTGTCGTGCTAGGCTAGGAATCTGGACTTATACATAATTAAAGATTTAAGATAAAATTTGGACTAATAGAAAACTTTAAAAGAGTCACTCGTAATGTATTATAGATATAAATATAAGAACCTATTTGATAACGATTAAACTTACATAAATAGATTATTATGTTTATGGTTATTTCATTTAATTAAAAACAGTACTATTGATTTACAGCACTTATTTATTGGCTTAATATTATTTTAAAGCGCAAAACAAAAAATTAAGTTACGCCATTTAAATCAGTTCTTAAAACTTTGGGCTTAAAGTATTTTAAAAAGTGTACAGACTAAGGTAAGTTTTTAAAAGGTTGTTTTTATTTTAATATTGTATTGTGTTTTAAAAAAGTCTAAATGACATCTATGTTAGTTCTTTAGCAATGTATGTAAATGCATACATTAAAAGAAGATCGTTTGTTCAAATATTCACCAACAGATGGCACGGTTATTCAACAATGTAAAATCAAATTATCATCGTTTATTAATGAAATGTCAAAGAGGATCAGAGACCTAAAAGAGTTCCAGAACTAGATTGAAATCCTTAGGAGTGCCTAACTGACATCTCGAGAGTCGGTAGTTGTTCTGCAGAAATATTCTATAAACTCAACTATGTACTAAATTCTATAAAACAAGTTCAACTAACACTACGGACATATGGCGTTATATATTTATAAAGTGCCCAAAGAACCTTACCAACACCTTACAGAATCTACGATCACCTAGCGGACTGAGGCTACAGTTTTTTTTTAATTATTTACTTTGCTCGATCTGCGCATAAAGTTTGGAATATCTTAATCCCTTGCAATACTGGTGTGCTTAAATTGAATTACATAAATCATTAAAATCCCAAACCAATGTTATATATTTCATTAACTATATAACTATAACATACAGTAAATGTTGTATTATGCGGCAACAGATTGTGCTTGACAAAGATCTTCGTTGGTACCTAATTAACGGACGAAACCATTCCATTCATTCCAAAGTCAAATTTGTATCAGCAGTAGCAGCTTGCTTCATGATATTTGTATACTTTCCTCTATAACCAATCTGTAGACTGTCAGAGATTAAAGGCTCAAAGGAGAGCTGATTGGATAAAGATTAATTATTCTACTGTCATTATTCCTCTTAAGTTGAGATTTTTAAGACTGACCGCCTGCAAGATTACTTAATATAAAAAGGGATAAACACCCAGATTCTGAACAATACCTTTCTAAAAACAGTGCTTTTGGTTAACACAAATACGTACCCCGTGTGGGAATCGAACCCACAACCCTTGCCCACTAAGCTAAGCTTAACAACTGCGCCACACTGCGCTATTGAGAGATGACAGTGGTGAAAAAATTACGTAAACCGGACATGTGGCTCTAGAAATAAGCGGAGAGGTACACCAACAGAGACACGTTGTCTTTTATCATATAGAGATCGATGAAGTGTCTCACGATGTCTGACGCGGAATCGGAGCGTTTATGTCGCACGAGGAATAAATGCGTTATTACCTTTAGCAAAGCTGAGCACGTAAACGCGTTGGAAAGTGAGAGGAAGTGAGGTGGGAAACGTTTTCTTTTTACGATCAGGATAATCCGTGACGCTGCGTTATGTAAACTCAAGAGTGTTATGAGGAAGAAGACCTTATACAACAAATAAAAAGCACGTACAATATATTCACCGGCCAAGATGTGGTTGCAAATCGCTGCGAGAGAAGCCTATTGTTACGATTCGTTCATCATTGTGCTTCCAATATTATTGGGGCAAATGGACCATTTTATTCTGTAGCACTTTTTGTTACGACAGTAAATAAATGGTTGGTTATACAAACCGCATAACGCGAAGAAAGGTCATCGAGCAGGTAGCTTTGTTGTGATCTCGAAGAAAGGTCAACGAGCAGGCTTTGTTGTGATAACTATCTGATGGTAAGTAGTCATCACCACTTATGGACGTTACACCAGGATGATAGCGAAGATTCTTAAACATGAAGGACATGTCAAATCCAAAATCCCGTTGACATAATCCTTATTAACGTACATCACAAAGACAAGGATTGATTGGTACATCCGACTTGCAATAAGATCACGGCTTCGAATCCAAGCGATATAAGATCTTTAAGCAGTAATGAATATCATTAGTAGCGGGTGTAATCTCAATCCCATTCGGCTGTGATGGTCATTATCCATCAGTCGATATGCTTGTCGGTTTGCCACCTTTTTCAGTAAAAAAAACTCCCAGATTGGTGCAATGGGTAGTGAAACTGCACCTCTCGCCAGAGGTTATGGGTTCGATCCCCACTACTGGAAAAATATTGTGCTTTGAACATAGTGTTTCCCAGTGTCTGGGTGAATAATATGTATTGATTTACAAAAGAAAAGTACCCATAGTACAAGCGTTGCTTAGTTTGAGACTAGAG